CAGCAGAGGTGAGGGCTGCCCGACTGGGCTGCAGGCCTCGGGGGTAGAGAATGGGGCATCCCAGGCTTTGTGGCAGGCTGGGTGGGGCCTCCATGAGTTCTTTTCTCTTTGCCAGCCTGGGCCGGACGGTGGGCCCTACAGGCCCCTTCTTCCCTTCCTGCCTGCCAGGGACCCTCCTGAACACGGCTACATATGCCCAAGCCTTGTCACACGTGGCCTCCCTGAAGGGTGAGTGGCCTCCTTTGGCCAGGGGCTGCAGCAATGGGTGTGGTGGTGGTGTGTGTGTGGGGGTGGGTCAGGGTTTCCTAGGGCAGTTGGGGTGGGGTCATCTTCCGCTCCTGTGCATCACAAACCCTACCCTCTTTGTGCCTTTGATGTGGACCCAGCCCAGGATCGCAGCTGCAGATGGCTGCTTGCCTGGTGACAGTCCTGGGAGTGCTGTCACACAGCTCCTGCACCAGGCCCTGTGTGTGTCTGAGGATGCTCCTACTGGGTGCAGCTGTCTCTCCCTTGTGCCTTTCTGGGGGCTCCCAATGCAGTGTGCTGTCAGAATGGCTGTGGGGGCTTGAAAGGATGGAAACCGTCAAGGATGTGTCTCAAACGCTAGAGAGATGAGCCCCAAGGGGCTGTCCCCTGGGGGTGTCTGGGCACCTTACTTGGGTACAGCGGTCTAGTTGATGTCTCCCCCTACCTAGTCCCAAATGTATTTGGCAGTTGTACTGGCTAGAATAGGGCTGGCTGGACCTTAGAGTGTGTCTAGGGGAGGGCCAGGGCATCCCCTTAGGGACCAGTGTGCTACATGGAAGGAAGGTTGGAAAGTGGGAGTACAGAGCAAACTCTAGACTTTTTCCTTATAACAGAGAGTGGGAGAGAGGCCTCCGAGGAGGTGTCTGCTGTCTGTCCTGTGCAGCTTGTCGTCTCCCTGGCCTCAAGGGGGTTCCCTTATTAGAAGATGGGTCAGCGCAGGTGCACCCACAGACACAATAGCTATCTTCCCTGTGAATTTGGTTTCTGAATTGGAAGGGAGATGGAACAGTCTCCCTAGGGAGTCTCTGGGAAGCAGAAAAGGACATTGCTGGTGCCCTGTGTGCCACAGGTGGGGAGGGGAAGTGGCTTGTCTGGGGGAGCCACATCATGCCCCCAGTGAGCAGGGCAGCCATGGGGCACAGTCCCAGGACACACCATATTGCTCAGGCACTGAAGACCCGAAATCTACACTGCCCCAAAGTCTAGGACGCTGGGCACCTGCCCGTTGCCACCAGTGGGAAGGTCCACACAGCAACACTGAGCTTGCTATGAAGATCGCAGCCGGGTACTTATCTGTGAGGACTAGGCAGACTGGAGTCTCTCCCCGCAAGCTGTTGTGTTCATGTGAATGCAAACATTCCAACATCTGAAAAAGAAATCAAAATTGCTTTCCAAGCATTTTGAAAACTCCACCGCAGAGAGATGTGGGACGGCTAAATGCCACGAAGTCACAAAGGAGATTCCAGGTGGGGGGACTTGGGCTCTGCCAAGAAGCGAGCCCTGCATCTTTCCATCACCCAGGGCTCTTCCCCTCCCACACTGCTTTGGTGAGTAAACATCTTGTGTGCAGGTGTTACTCTGGCACATGGCAGCCCATTTGAGTGTTTCTGGCAAGCCAAGAGGAGGCCCAGTGGCCGAAGGGGAAACTTGAAGGGCAGACTGCAAGGTAGGGTTTGGATAAGGTGGAGGGGAGAGGAAGAGAATCTCCCAGCTGGGCACCAACCAGGACCACGGACAGAGGCTAGTGGGAGGGGCTGGGGCTGGATGCGACCAGCTGGCCCAAGCAGGAGCATGTAGTCATGCAAGTGTCCCACGGCCCCATGGCTGTGCTTCCTTGGCTCCTTCGGGCAGAGTTGGTGACCCCTGGGACCTTGCTGGCCGCCTTTGCCAGGGGCGTTTGGAATGCTCCTGAGATTGGGAGCGTCTGTGTGTGTTGGAAAGACCATGTCTGGGGCAGCTGGCACCTGCCTCCAGACCTGGTGAGACACAGTTAGGGATGCTGAGGCATGCTCAGGTGTCACAAAGCAAGGGTGGGGAGGGGGCTGGAGGAAGGTGAACGCTGCGCGTGTGTGCAGCCAGCATTGTTGAGAGCCCTAGCTTGTCCTGGTCTCTCAGTGCTTCTGTTGGTTCTTCATTTGGAGAGTGTGGGCACACAGCAAAGCCCCTTTTTCTGTGATAGGAAGCAATGCGCCAGGGGGCACTGAGCACTCAAGGTGAAGCATTGGTTAGAACAGCCCAATGTGGCTGAGAGGTTGCCAGAATGGCTGATTTTCCAAGAGAGGATGAGTATTCTGGGTGGTTCTAGCTAAATGCCACAGTCTAGGTGCCTCAGAAATGACAGGAATTTATTCTCCATATTCTAGGAGCTGGGAAGTCTGGGGTCAAGGTCTGGGCATGGTGGGTTGCAGATAGGCCTTCTCGTCCCCTGCCACCTCCTAGTTCTGTCACCTTGAGGGTTGGGACTTCAGCGGAGGCATTCTCAGGGAGGTCTACACACCCCGCCCTAACAGTTCCCATGAGTATCTGGACCTTGCTGGCCCACATGTGGTGGCACCAGCTGGGTGCTTCCCTGCTGGCCGGCTGAGGGCATTGTCTGTGGTCCGTCTCTTCTTGTGTCTGCACCTCCTCTGCAGGCCCCAGCAGGTTCACCTCCCTGGGCTCATGGTGACACCCAGGCCTCCTTGGCTGTTTTGCCTCTGGCCAGCTGAGTGTTGCTGCAGAGAGGGTGAGGAGCTGTCCTGTTCCTGTGTGCACAGCTAGGTGATCTGGCATCCTGGTTCGATTGCATTCTCGGGATGGCACAGCTGGCCTCCCAGGAGGAGGGTACTCCCCATGGCACCGTGGTGAGTGTCCCTGAGATGGCTGGGAGATGATTCATGACTGACGTGGGGGTGGCCTCTTTGTCTTCTAAAAACATCTGACCACATTATGGCGAGGCCTCTTGATGTCCCAGGGAACTGCCTCATGACTCTGCAGGCTCTGCCCCTGTCCCTGGTTCCAGGGGCGTATCAGCTGCCAAGTCAGCTTCTAAACACCCCGGGGGTCAATGCTGTGCTGTTCTGTTGAATGTGTGTTAAGTGGTTTGGGGTCAGACTGTCCTTTCTCTCCCAGGCTCAGTCTAATCCCTAGGGAGGAGTGAGTCGGGGCTTTCCAGAGTCCTGGCTCTATGTCCGGGGCCCTGGGCTGTGGCCCAGCCTTCTGCACCTGCCTTAGCCACCATCTTGGTGTGACTTCCCTATAATGAAAAATGCACGCCAAGGTTTCCCACACTGCACCAGCACCTGGCCAACCCATGGGGTAAAGCAAGGGTAGGGGTGGGAGAGTCCAAGGTCCTAATGCAAGATGAATTCCACAGAGCTCCCCAGCTGGGACCTTAGAACTAACTGTCTAGAGAGCATTACAAATCTGTGTTGTTACAAACCCACGGATTTTCAGAAGTGGGGTGTCCTAGCCACTGGCCCCTGGAGTGTTTATGAGTCTGGGAATCTCCGAGGCTCTTTAAAGTGGCTTGTTGGATGCTTTTTTGCCTGGAATTTCTTCAGCTTTGCAACTCTTGGTACCTTATCTGCCTGCGGTATCCGGGGCTGGGAGCGGGAGTTGGTTCCAGGATTCTCTGAGGACACAGAACTCTGCACTTGCTCGAGGCCCTCCTGTAGGCGGCCTGGTTTGTACCTGTAACTTCTACACATCTTCCTGTAGGAAAAACCTTTCAAAGGAACAGGGAAAACGCATCCCAGAAAAAAACTCCATGGGGATTTCTACATCGCTTTTGCACCAAAGCAAGCGTAGCATTTATTCCATTTTTCCATGAACTTCTTGAAGTCCTCATGTACTTTAAGTCATCTTTGGATTACTTGTAACCTACATCAATTTCATATATTTTTTACAGAAGTTACTGTTAAACTACGCTTAGGAAAAAATGATAAGGAAAAAAATGCGTTGTAATATATCCAGTGCAGATACAATTATTGAAGCAGCATTTTAAAATGGGATCTATTGATTTGAAAAGCAGAGTTACAGAGAGAGAGAGAGAGAAGATCTTGCATTTACTGGTTCACTTCCTACACAGCCATTAAGGTAGAGCGAGATTGAACTAGGAGCCAGGAACCACATCTGAGTCTCCCGCATTGGTGCAGGAGCTTGGGCTGTCCTCCACTGCCTTCCTAAGCGTATTAGCAGGGAGCTGGGTGAGAAGCGGAGCAGCTGGCATGTTAGCTGGTACTCTTGCGAGTTGCAGGTGGTGGCTTAACATACTGTTCCACAATGCTGACCCAGGTACAGTTTTCCAGAGCCTTTCCATCTGTGGTCAGGTGGCTCCGTGGATGTGGGGGTCTGTGGGTAGGGGGCTTGATTGTCCTGGATCTCAGCTCCCTCCCCACCACCCCAGAAAGTACAGTGCAAGGAGGAGAAGGGGAAGCTAGAGTGGATCAAGAATGCTGAAAATAGAGGGGTACTCTTTTACCCCTCTCCTAAAACTGGGCTCCTGGGGCCCTGTGAGAGCCAAGAGTCGCTTCTGGTGGGATTGCGGTGGCAGCCTGGACTCTGACAGCTCAGTGGCTGTGGTCTAGAACTTTCCATTTAAGGTACACATCTGAAATAGCCTGTGGAGCGTCCAGATCCTGTTTTTTTTTTTTTAATCCTCCTTTCTCCCACCCCGTTTTGTTTTGTTTTGTTTTTGATTGTTGAGGGGACAGAGTAGCCCAGAAGAGAGATGAGGGTGGCCGGTGTTCTGCACACAGCTTGAAAAGTCAGCTATAGGAACCTCCAAAGGATGGTTGTCTAAGAAATGGAACGCTGCCCATGGAAGCACCTGCTGGGGCCTGGGCTTCAGAGAGTGGCTTCAGGCTGGTGAAATCGTGGTCAGGCTGCAGGTGGCCAGGGTCTCTGGGGAATCTCCATTGTGCCCACTGTAGCTTGGCTGGGGGTGAGGGGGCTTACCTCAGGCCAGGAGGGTGAGGGTAGAACCTTGCCCAGGGCTCCTTGCTTGCTCATCTGTGCTGGCGCATTCTGCTCTGTGGCCAGCCAGGCCTTTGGGGAAGGAGTTGGGTGGGGATGGGCAGGAGGTCATGGCCCCTCCGGGGAGGCCAGCCAGGGAAACAGGCACAGGTGTAGATGTGGTGGGTCAGCCTCCACACAAACCAAACAGGTCCCTGGAACAGCAAGCATCTGGCCACCTCCATCAGGGAGGGTGGCTACTGGCT